GAGAGAGAGAGAGAGAGAGAGAGAAAGAGAGAGAGAGAGAGAGAGAGAGAGAGAGAGAGAGAGACCGCTGAAAGAAAGTACAAAAAACTGCGTGGGTCTCAACGTTTTTCTCCAATTAGCGTAACCCATGGGTTGGCGACATTTCTTTCGCCGTAAAATATTATTATTAGATCTATAACACTCTCTACTATTCTGGAGGTCATTGCCATCAAGAATACTTTCTGCCATATCTATCTATCTATCTATCAGTCTGTCTATCTATCTATCTATCTATCAGTCTGTCTATCTATCCCACAGTCTCTCTGTCATCAATCGTAATTTTGTTTGTTTGTTTGAGTAAAGAGAAGCACATCGACACAATAATGGTAATTAATTGTGCTGGGGGGAAAGTAAGACCGATATACAGAAATAACAGAGGGGTGAGTAAAGGAGTAAGACCTACCTGTAGTGCCCCCCCTCCAACCTCCCACATATAAATATGTATGTATATATATTTATTTAAAAAAAAAGATTTCAACGTTCTTTTTTTCAAAGAGACAATCGGCAAACGGGGCGGCCAGCCTTTCAAGAATTGGCTCGTGGCCACTATCGGACACTGGCCTCTCATCTCTTCAGCTGAGATAGGCTACTCTTTTGAGCTTACTGACGTCTTGATCGACGCTGGCAAGAAAGGGTCTTTCCCTCTGGTACAATTCTTTGTCGGTGTAGACCCCAGAAACACAGGCACCCACGTACTGAAGGTGACAAAAAGTGTTTTGTTGTATTGACGGAAAGCATTTATTTAATATTTAATTTACAGTACTGATTATTCGTGAATCAGCGTGGTGAAATCAAGCGCTCGTCAAAATAATACAAGTGAAGAAACTGTAATTTTTCCGCACGTTTTTACATTTTTCATTGAAATTTCGTGGGTTTTTTTTGGCTCAACACCTTTCATGCCCTTTAAAGAAAACATTTCTGTGTGGAGTTTTACTGAAAAACGTTAATTGGAACCACAAAAAGTGTGAATTTTCACCTTCCACTGACTCTCAAGCTAAGGAAGTAACTCCTCTTTGGCGCCATTTTCTGACTAATTTTACCAGGTGACCCACACCTCCTTCATTAGTAAATATCTCAACTTCTATACCAGACAAATTTATATTTTTTCTTCCAAAGCAAGACATATGAACAATCTTTAAGATTATACCAATACTTTTACATACCCAAAAAATGACGAGAGCCTGATTCCACCTAGTCGTGACACAATTATTTTAAATTCAAAACGCGCCACAGTACATGAAGGGTTGGGATGATGGGGAACAATAAAACGGGATATCCACTGCGGATGGGATCGGGTCGGGTCGTGGGTGATCGCCCTACTCGTCGTTTGAAAATAAATGCGCTTGTTTCTGAGGCGACGAGTCGGGCGCGATCGGCTTGTGCCACGATAGCTGCATTGAGCCCTCAATCTGGCTAGCAAATCGCCCCAAACCAGGCCCGATCCCACAATGGGCACCCCGCATAAGAAGCCAGAGGATCTATCGTTCCTCTGTGACCTTACTTGGTAAGAGGGCTGCAACAGAATTGAAACAAAAATAAGTTAAAGGAGGGAGATTAAAATATCGTGATTGAGATACATTTTAAACATTAAATGAACCAAGCATTCTTTCTATTTGTTAATGTAATCCTCGTGAACACTCTTGCGATTTTCTCCTCGCTGCACGTGCTGATGCTTACAATCTCTGCGACGGAGCCAATCTCTGCCGTGCTCCTCGATGTTGGCGTCACTTACGACTTTTCTTTCTCAGCTAGATATTATTTCATTGGCCCAATACAAACAGACGGAGGTATGAAGGGCTAGATCAGGAATGCGAGGTGGATGGGGTAAAACATTGCCTCTCATGTTTGTATAGTCATGCTCTTGTGCCTTTAGCAGTTTGGAGACGGTTTTTGTCATATTGCAAAAAGACCCCCTCGGGCACAGTCTAATCTCTTATGACGCGTTACTTCTTTCAGCTTGTTTGTTTTAGTAGAGGTTTTACGGCGCTCGCAACTGAATAAGGTCATATGAGCGCCAGAAGATTAGAGGTGTTACAAGAGAGTAACAAACATAAAAAAAGAAGGAGGGGAGATAAGGACGATAGATGTTTGATAGAAAAGAAGGAGCAAACCACACCAGCCACTTCTTTCTTCAGCTTGTTGAGGTTTTCAGAGTATGTGGCTGCGTTGATGCTTTCTCCGTGCGGCGAGAAGTCGACATGCAGAAATACACCTTCTTGATCTATATCTCAGAAAACCTGCAGCTATTATCTTTTTTTTTTGCAAAGGCCATGGAATCTTTCGTCGTCTCTGGATTTACGAGATGGAACCGTGTCTTATATACTGTTCTGACACGACCCAAAAATATTTCAGCAAATCCTTCAAAATCGAGCATTGAAGGCGAGACTCGTAAACAGCTTATGTTGCTAAGGGGAGGTCGACGTTTCGCCGCAATGACGTCACGGCGTGTACCTGTTGAAAATAAGAATGATCGTTTTGCCGCAGATTGAATTCGATTACAATTTGATTTAATTTAGTACGTTGCTAGTATGACGGGTTTATATAATGGCTTGACAGCGAAGATAAAAATGTGATGTCTCAGGTACAGAATTGGTGTAAAAATCCAAACTTGCTAAAAAAAAATGCTTTAAGCTCATGTACCTGACGTATTTCTCCATGTTGATTTGCCCTGTATTGTATACCGGGCCTGATGGGGGCTGTTTGTTTTCAATTTATTGCGTTCAGTTTTATCACTTTGTTAGTTGCTGGTGATCGTTGAGTTTTCTTAGGAACAAGAATATGTTTTGGAAGTAGGACTTTGAGCAGGATGGGTTTATATAATGAATGTGTTTCATGTCTTTGTCTGTCGTGCACCTCGCCTTGCATGTTTCAGTAGCGCTTTTCCACCTTTTGCTGTTTTGCTGATTCTTGAAACCGCAACAGCTTGGTGCCCCCTTGCCTTAACGAACGATCATGCACGTGTAGTTACTTCCTGCTCCATGAGCAGAGGAAGATAGGACTAACGCTAACAGTACTTAAACGACATCCCTCATCATCACTCATCACCACTATTAATGTTAAAATCATCACCTCTCTCAGATCAATGACTTACATCTATAATCCTGGAATCTCTATCCGCTATTACAGTTAATTGATATACTAAGTATGCATGTAATACACTATTGGACACAATCATGTGCACTTTTTTCTACTAATCAGATGGCGTCAATCTCATATAAATGGGCAAGGGGAAAAAAGCAAAAAAACTTCCTGCTCCATGTGGACCGAGAGGGATTCTACTTGCCAAAACTAGGAGAATTTATAGTTGTTTCAACACAACAACACGCAACACACTTACTAAAATGTTTTGTTCAAACTGGGCAGAGTGGGTGGTTGGCGGGTGCTCTGGTGTGGTTTGCTTCTTCTTTCCTATCAAATATCTATCGTCCTTATCTCCCGTCCTTCTTTTTTATGTTTGTTACTCTCTTGTAACACCTCTAATCTTCTGGCGCTCATATGACCTTATGCAGTTGCGAGCGCCGTAAAACCTCTACTAAAACAAACAACCAACTGGGCGGCCATTCTTCATGTGAAAGAGTGGGAATGAGCAGGGACGAGACCAGTACTTACAATAAAGGGAGAAAGGGAGAGATTGAATCGTTATAACAGTTCACTCCTCCCGAGTTCTCATTGACACGGTGGGAGCGTTTAGAAATTTTGTTTCAGAGGCGTTCACAAAGTAATCGATCTTCTATCTTCTGGATAAATAGCTTGTTTTCGAATACGATTTGCGGCGAAACGATTTTCAGACTTGGACAGGCAGTCCCCTGATGCGTCATTTGCGGCGAAACCTAACGCAGCCGTTGCTAAGAGACAGAGTGGCTTCCGCTGACTCAGAGATGACGACTACATCATAGCTTTGCAGTATTCATATTAATGGATTGTGAACTTTTGTATGCTGCAATTTGGACTGACGAATTTTCTTTCCCTTACATTTAGATATACATTTATTTATTTAACAAATTTGAGTGTTTTACAGGATGTGGCGTGGGCCAATAGCATTAAACACTCAATATATTTACATTTATTACTTTTTTAACTTACATTTATGAGCTCTCCTATGATTACATTTGAGCTGGTATTACCTTACGCATACCGTTGTGTTGAATTTGAACTGTCTATGCTAAATTAATCTGACAGTTTTGGTATCTGCCAAGGACTACTATACTCAAGGACGTGCACCGTCGGATTCCTGACTTGGCTAGCGAAGGCCAAATATATAAACATGTCCAACTTATCACTAGGCACAAGATACATTTCATATTGAGTGTGAGAAAGCTAAAACATGTTGTAATGTTGTTGAACGCAATATTGTAGCATAGTAATACATGTTATTTCTATATTTTTGTTATGTCATGCAGGAATATTAGTATGAAGAGCATTTAAAAATGTTAACGAATACAACAACAAGAATTAGGCTTACTCACTAAGTCAATCCGCCATACGTGCCTTCTTGATGGATGTCTGTAGCAGGGCTGCATCCTTTTGGTGATCCTTGTCTAGATTGTGCAGACCGCGGAGTAAGACACTTGCGAGATGACGGAGCAGTTTCTTGGACTGAACGATGTCGAAGTCGTGAAATTCCCCCATGGTTGATAGAATTCCAACAAGTCTCTGACGACAACGAACTCTATGTTTTGCTTTCTTTATAAAGGAAAGTCCAATCCTAGTCAGTTCATACGTAGACATATGGGGGTTTTAAGGGAGCCTCTGGACACTTCCTCTAAAAAGTTCTTCACTTCTGTGGAGACGAATGGCTCATCATCGCTGAAGGTGATGTCATCAATACATTTTCGCTCCAGCCATCCTGCTACATAGGCACAGCAGCTTTCTTCGTTGGCTGTCAGAGTAACATCTGAGAAGCTACTCTCAATGGCTTCTCCATCAGCAGCAACCAAAGGCCCACAACACAGATGTTTGTCAGAGGTTGATGGGGAATCATCAGCTATGACATCAATACTCTCGAGAAAAGATACTGGATGCCTAGCGAGGCGCTTCTTGCATGCCGAGATAACATCTCCTGCTGTCATGAACGCGTTGGCCCCGGTGGACTGCCTGTAAACGGAAAATTCGCCTTCAATGCGATCGCTCTGTATCTCACGCAGCAGCACATATTGAAATCCTGATGACAATAAGTGTTTTGTCACGGCACTGAGTCCACGCATGGTTTGTACCAGAGCTTTCTTGGTGTCGTGGGTGAGGCATTCCTTTCGAGACACTCCCTGTCCTGACATTGCTTCTTCAAACTTCTTGGCATACGTGTCCAGACTATCAGACGCTAACACCTGAGCAGCTCTGTGTGGGTCCTTCATACGAATGTCCTGTCCCTTGGCAGATACATTTACAGTATTCCACCAGTTTAGAACAAACTGAATGAACTCTGCGGTGGCATAACACTCTTGCAGTGCCAGCCCAGCAATAACCTTTTTATTGAAAATTCTTAATACATGTTGCACATTTTGAAGTTGTAGTTTTGATGGGTTGACAGAGGCATATGTAAGTCGCGTGGTTTTAAGGATGCTGTTTTTTTCTAATTCATAAAGATTTTTAACATCTGAGAATGATCCTACAGTCCTACAGTCATATTATCAAGTGTCAATCTCTGCGATTTTTCTGTAATCCAATTGTTTCGAATGCATTTTAACAAGTGGACTGTATCGACAACAGACTTTATTTTTCTTGTGCTTGGCAAGACCAAAATGTCTCTTAGTTATTCATAACTGCAGCGGGGAAACGATTCGATAGCGAAACAGTAATCGCTTACAGAAAATTGTTTGTGAGTCAACAGTTTCAGCTGATGAGTTATAAAGTCTAGCTTTCTTTCCCTTTTCTTTTCCTGAATAAAAGAACAAAATAATATAAAGATTTTAGTTTACTGGACCACTAGGCAATTACAAATTACAAGAAATCAAGATCTTAACTTTACCTTAGTTTACTCCAGTCCTTCAAAATTTGTTGATTAGATCCAGATCTAGATCTAGATTTACCAATTGTAAACATCAACTGTCTAGGTACGAGATTTTATCGGTAGGAAAAATGAAAGAATAATCTTTTTGTTTTATAAACCACTGGATTATATGTACTGCAAAGCAAGGATCGACATTACATTTTTATTTTTTAAACTTAATCCTACACTACTGGTCCAGTATAATAGGATCTTACCTTTGGGTCTTCAAGTTCTGTGCAACGTGATTGTTCCAATACTTTCACAACTCTCTCAAGCACAACACCCAAAGGAACTTTATAGTTTAGGGCGACGTGCACACACTCAAAAAATTGGGTGTAGGAATTCAATCCGTTATTTGGATTTAATATTTTTCCCAAGGGAACTCTGGATCCTTTTTTGAATGCGG